TATAATAAATATATTATTAATATATAATTATAATTATCGACATTTTATATTATCAAGAAAAAATAATCAAAAAAACTCTTCTTAAAAAGACGGAATTTAAATTTAAAAGTAAAATTTCAAAAATTTCTATGAATACCGATAGTTTCGTGAAAATTCCTGATTTTCAAGAGTAAAAATATTCCCTGAAAATTCTAGGTTTTTTCAGATAGTAAATACTCTGTATAATAACTTTATTATCAGTCCTAGAGAAGATCTTTTTCTTACTTCATATCGATGATGTACAGTGTATTGTACAAATATTGTAACAGAATACAAAGACGCATATAATATATATAGACATATCGCAAGAGATAATATACCTAATAAAGTTTACACTTTAGCGTTTTTCGTTTATCGCTTCGTTCTTTTTTTGTTCTAAGCGCGGGGAGACTAACTCAATCATCACGCGCTCTGAAGAAAAAAATAATAACGTCAAAATAATCATAACAGCTAGGTAAATGAGATAATCCGACTTTCTACGTGATCTCCAGGAAAGATTATTATATACGATAAAGCTACGCGAAAAGAAGTATCGTCTCTATATCGAATAACGTGCATTACGTGCATTATGCGTTGTGCGTATCTTCAAGTTTCATCCAAACCGAGAAAAGAGAGAAGAACATCAAGGTATTTACTGAAATCTTGTAAAAAAAATTCTAAGAATTTTCGAATTTTTCACGTATTTTTGTATAAAATTTCAGCTAAGGCTAGAGAATTTTTAATGCAACTTTGAACTTAAATTAGAGTAACACAAATTATACATTAAAAATTAATATACTGAGAAAAAAATGATTATATTAAGATTATTTTTTCAGTGATAAAAGGATTCCGAGAGACTATGTTTATTATTTTTTATAAATGGAGCTTGTAGAGTAGTACAGAGAAGGCTCATTATATACAATGTAGTATCAATGAGCTACTCTATTGCTGAATATTGTCTTCTGATTTGTTTAATAAGAACTCGCGAGATATACAAGAATATATGTGGATGTATATGCCACATACATATTACTGATTCTCAACATTTTGCATTATCAAGAAAAATTAAAACAATGTTTTCAGAAAGGATAAAATTTAAAAAATAAAATTCCAAAAAGTTCCTAAAGATAATTTCATGCTGATGTTCGACGCATTTTTAATATCAAAATAGGCTAATATCAAATGAATGTCAAGCATCAATTTTGATCATGACCTGTTTTAAAGCTAAAAAGAATTTTGAAGCGTCAGCATGGGAAGGGACTTATCTTAAGTCCTGATTTTCGAAAGTAAAAAGAAAACCTGATAATTCCAGGTCTTCTACGTTTTTCCAAGTAAACACTCTGAACTTGTTCCAGAATGAAAGTGCGTCGTCGCAGTTCCTTTCTACTTGTGACTCTCTCCCTCCTCGGCGCCCAGATTTAATTATCGATCCTTCGGAGCTGAGGAATCATAATATGCTTGCGTTGGAATAAAAAATTCCAAATAAAAAAATTAAAATAGAAAACTTTTACCCGTTTTTCTTTTCATGGAAAAGAAAATCGGGGACGCACGTTTGCAATAAGAAGCGAATCGCACGTGAGGCGATCCGTGAGAAAGGCACTTCGCATGGGGGAATGTTACCCCCTAAAAGGCCACGTTATACGCGAAACGCGATCAGGGAAGACAATTCTTCTTTCCTATTCTATCGAGAAAGTTACTTTGGTAATGACTAGGTCATATACTGCGTTGCGCGCGCGCGCGCGCGCGCTACGTTAGTTTAATAGGTCGTAGTGTTCGTGTCCGTTATGGCCTGGCGATTGGCTTACTAAATAGTGAATAGTAATCGTAATGGCGCGACGCGCCAGTTTAGGCGCTTCCCCGTTATGGCCATCCTTCACATCGCGTTGCTTACACGTACCATGGTTACGTTACGACGGGACTTGATGAGAAATGTCGACTTAACGCGAAAACTTGTACTTTACGCTCGGCGCCAGACATCACATTAATCGACTCCTGCGCTTTTACGTTCAAATTTCATCTCATCAGAAACACGCTCAAACTCAAGAGGACTAGTCGTCGAAACAGAAGACTAATCGTGTCATCTCGAAATGCGAAACGGTTCGGTAGTCGCGCTTTGGTTTAAGAATTAAATAGTTAAATAATTAATTAAGATTCAAACAGAATCCTTCCGCCGAGATTCTCTCTCGAGACTCGCGATTATACGTGTAAAATCGAGAGAGAGAATTCGTCAGGATTGCGAATTCCAATCAAAATTTCAATAAGGAGTACGCCAAAATTGGTCATCTAAATAGACTTTCATAAAATGTTACTGGTGAAAATCTATTTAATTGACTATTTTGGATCAATTTTGGTACCCTCCTTTGTTCTGAATTATCGGAAAAACGAATCCACCGAAGACGGATTTATCCTTTTCAAAATCGTCGGATTCAGATACGAAACGAGTATCTGATGGACGGTATCAAAATTAGCTAGTCGAACCGTGTTATGCGTTTTGAGATTACCTAAGTAGTACATGTTGGTTTTCTAAATAGTTATGAATCACTAGATATGTTTAGGAAATATAATATTTCCGTCAGTAATGTGAAATTTTATTCTTCGTCCGCCATCTGAATCTTCAAACTTCAGTGCAGATTTACTGTTTCGAATTGTAAATAAATCTGAAAAAAATTTTCACATTTTTGTGAAAGCTCTAACAAGTTTTTACTGATATAAAAGTTGAATTCTATATTTTCTTTATTTTTTTACAGATTTAATCCTGGTTTGTTCAAATTTACTACACGATCATACACGTTCGAGTCAATATAATTAAAACGTTCTAAAAACAATTTCACAGAAAATGATTGTACAGTAATATAATCATTAAATATTAGAGAAATAATTTAAATAAAATATTAGTAAGAAAATAAATTACATTTTGGGTTACAAATAGA